GCGTCTCGGCAGCTCATTGCACGTTCCACGATTGTTCGACGTTCTTTTGGTAGGCTGTCCGGCGTGACATGCCTACATGCGCCTCGGCCATCGCTCCTTGCGGCTGCTCGTCACACCCGCTACCTGGTTGATCCTGCCAATAGTCATATGCTTGTCTCAAAGACTAAGCCATGCACTTCTAAGTGTGAACACTTTGCACTGTGAACCGAAGCGGGATTTGTTCCGGGACGGCAGATTGTTTCGAACATTATGCGGGCACGATAGGTCCTCAGAAATCAGGAGATTTGCGATCAGCCGCTGGCCTTTGTCACGATTGACCTCGAAAAAGCCTACGACCGGGTGCGGTGGGAATTTCTCCTTCAAAGCTTGCGCCGGAGGGGCATTGGGGAAAAGTTATGTAATTAGACTAGACTGCTCCTGGTTCCCGCCCGCACGTGCATGCAGGTGAATGGAGTACGTTCCGGTTTTCTGCAACTCACTAGATCGGTTCGGCAGGGATGCCCGATGTCGCCTGCATTGTATGTCATCTTTGTCGAGGCCCTACACGACCTCCTTCGAGGGGACGAGGCCCTGCAGGGACTTCAGCTGAGACAGGATGTGGTCCWCAAGTCCACAGCCTTTGYAGACGACACCGACGCAGTCATCCCTCCCACTATGCAGCAACTACGGCGCCTYCAAATGGATCTGGATCTGTTCTCCCAGTATCCAGGGGCAASGGTGAATTGGYGGAAGTCGAAGCCCATACTCCCGCAGGGATGCGTAGCCCCAGAAGGGTGGGATGTTCCCACCTTGGAGGATGGTGAAAACATRTGCTACTTGGGTGTTATGATCCACCCGGAGGGAGGGGGTGCTCAGCAGATGGAAGGATTGGCAGCGGCCGCAATTCTGAGGTTGGGGCGCTGGGCGAAGAGGACGCMCTTGGGCGTTTTCKGAAAGGCCCTTGTCCTCAAGAATTCGGTGCTATCTACAATGTGGTATGATGGGGCCATCCATATGCCAAAGAGGTGGGTTTTCAGGYAGTTGCGGACAGCAGTGCATCGATACCTCTGGGCAGGCGACGTGGAAGCGGAGTCGGTAATCCCCAGGGTGGCGTGGTCGAAGCTCACCCAGCCTAGGAGTCAGGGGGGGCTGGGGATCTTGGACACCGAACTGCAGATGACGGCGCTACAGCTACGTAATCCGCTGTGGATTCTGCTGGGGACGGCGGGCACAGCGTGGGAGAGTCTTACGACTCAGCACCTGGCCCTGGCTCTGGGTACGACGGAGCAAATGGTCTTAGTGGCGCTGGCTAGCCCAGGCCTTATCAGTCATGTCAAAAGGGACCAGGTCTGGTCCGTTGTGCTAAGGTTATGGAAAAGAATTCAACTACAGCAGGAACTGYTGGTCACCGCAAACGACGTGTATAACCAGCTCCTCTTTGAAAACCCCTGCATATGCGATGAGGAGGGCGACCCATTCCCATGGCAGGGGAAGCCAGGGGCCTTTGGGAAGCCTTGGGCGGAGTGTGGGGTGTTCAAGGTCGGGCACCTGTGGAATGAGGAGGAGAGAGACTGGAGGAACGAGGGTGATATGGCGACGYGACTCCCCCATAAATTCCGAAGGCAGCACAATTTGGAAGCCCTTAGGAGGGCCATCCCCATGCAATGGGTGGACATGTTGAGAGAGGACCGCAGGGTGGTGGGAGAATGGGTGCGCAGTAAGGGAGAGACGCACCCCCTTCAGGTGTACCAGATTGTAAAGGTACAGGGTGAGGAGGTGATGACGTGGGAGTGGGAAGTGGTCACTGGCTATGAGSGTCTGGGAGCCCCAATGAGAGTTGGAATTGGGGCAGGGAAGAGATGGCGAGCCGATGAGATTGAGACGGTGGCAGTCTGCGAAGAGGAGA